CATATCAAATTCCAGAACAGTTTCGATAGTATTACATTAATCGGGGTTGGGGTATTTTTCATCAAAACAACGACTGAAAAGACTTTTGCTCCATTTTGAAGTATGATGTGCAAGAGTTCCTAGATCCTTTAATTTAATTAAAATATTTTTTTGCTACAATAGAACTATGTAACGTACCTTTTGATTAAATGTAGAGGCAGCAATACTTTCTTCCATGGCAGTAATTATTACTTTCACTACTGTGTTTGCTTCATCTTCCTTAAATAATGATTTGAAAGCTTCAATAAGACTAGTTAGCTTTGATATCTGACAAATTTTTTTGCATATCATTTACTAATAAAATTATGCTTACTTTTTTAACACGTTTATACACTAATTCCCCTACAATTTTCTGCCATTCATTGGAGTTTTCATTGCATTTTATAAAATTCATCCAAAACTAAATTATACGGAAATTGTCAAAATGATACTATTTTACAAACTTCGTGCTCTTTTTGATAATCAAAACTTTTCCCACCAAAAGATAGACTTTCCATATGAGCACAAACCAATTCTTGTAGCACATCAATAAATACTACAAGTGATTTATGTGAAGCTGTTAGGGTAAACATGGTCTTGATGCAAACAGCAATAAAATTCTTTGAGCTTTTTTGAATTTTTCCTCGTAATGATGACACCATGAAGGATAACGCTTCTTTGTCACCAGGGCAAGAATGCTCACTAAAAAATGTTATTACATTTACATATAATTATAAGTAGTTACCTCTTCACATTTGGCAAAAGCTTTTCAAATGCTTCAAGGGCCTGCAATTGTAGCTAAATTTTATTTACATAAACACAAAATACTTTTTTGTCAAATTGATTTGTGCTTGCAATATGCAAACTAACTCCAACAAAGATTACTGGTAGTGAAACATAGCTCAATAAAACAGAATACTGTGAAGGAGGACAAATAACAAATAAAATAGCTTGGAGTTTAGCATCTCCTTTCAAATGTATCAAATCTAAATCTCTTAAAACGTCTTGCATTCTCCTAAAACAAAGTAAACTGATAACACAGGCAGTTAGGCACATTTACTCAAGTTTACCATATTTTTTGTGGGCAAAGACACTTGGAAGTCTCTATCAAATCTATGATAACATCTGGCTTCACATCCAGTTCAGTAAAAGGTTTTGTAGGGTGGGGATCAACAAACCAATAATACAATGGCAATGCTTTTATGAAGTATACTGATGATAAAATATCAGGTTTAGATGACTCAAAATAATTTTTTACTGCCAAGAAGATGTCTTTCAATAGCTTTCTAATGAAATAACATTGTTTAACTACAAAATAATTAAAATACAAACTTCATTAAATCCAAGTGTTGGAACTCTTGAATTATTTCAAATTGAAAACATTTTCTAATATTATTTTCACTTTCATATGCCACTTGTAATGACGACAATACACTATCAATAAAATCTCCTGACAGCAAGTGGGAATCATTAATAAGGCAAACCAAAAAGTGGCACAAAACAATATACTGAAGAATGCATTGAGAATTTCGGTTATTTAAAACTTTCTTTATTTCCTCAATAAGAACCTACAATTAAGCATACTACAGATGAAATAATGGTGAGAGTTTTCATTGGCAATTTGTTAGAAAAATACATAGAAGTTTCTACTTTGAAAATTTTTCAATCAAGTGTCGAGCATATAGACATCTTCAGGTGAGATTGACGGTGGCCTATGAATATCATTACTGTTTATTACGGTATCCACCTACGGTGATAAGTGGCCGCCATTTTGGACGGCAAGATTCAATGGAGGATGAATGAAGAAAAGGCAAAACTGATTCTTTTCGTTGGCATGGAGCTTTTTCAAGCTACAAAAGCTGGTTGGAGGAAAGAATGGTCACTGCTAAGCATCTCCTAAAAGAGATTTGGTGCAATATGAAGCATATTCTTTAATAGAGCTTGCTTTCTGCATTAGCCCATTCATACTCCATAGAAAGTTGCCGTCCACGAAAATTATTTCAGAGTCAGCCAGGCTCAGTCACGCCCCTTGCCGTATATCATTCTTTGACGTAATTCATTCTCACCCAAAGAGGTCTATATGTGTAAGTTGAACTAAGTATAAACTGCCAATATTAACTCTATGCCAATGCTTCATCTTACATACTGGTAATGTGCATGCTAATGTCACACACTCACCATTTCAAAAGTTTTTCCAGAAGGGTTCAAAACCATGACCTGATTTCTAACATCCCCAGTGTTTACTTTTATAGAATACTTCAGGGACTTGTATACTCTTGAAAGCTTTAAATACATAGTCACAATCTCATCAGGAGGAAGATGTTTTTGTGTCACATAATCTCCTAGATATAATCTAAAACAAAGCTCAACTTCCTTTTTTCTATCAGGTTCCTTAAAGGCTGTAGTATCAAACAAAAACATAACAGAAACAAATTTTTCCAGTGTTCCCTTTACTTCCTGAGGATAAATAATTGGATCATATATACAGTACGAGTTTTCCAATAACTCATCTCCTACGTTTAAAAATTAAATGGTATTGTGTGGGGAAGTCATTATAATTTTTTTTTAAAGTTAGCTTACGAGTAGGAAGAATACGTGCCCTACAGCATTTACTGCAATCACTAAAAACAGCTTGACGAATATACAGCAACTCTTCCAGATTGACACCAGTAGAAAATATAAAATACTTGTAATAAAGCTTTCTTCCTAAATATTTTTCATCAAATGTAACTTTTGATGTCATAACAGCACAATTATGTTTTCTCCTAAGAGGCATAATAATTATCAAAAAGTAAATCTATGCAATACTAAAAACTCACTCAGTTGTAATAAACTCAGCCTGACTGCCTTGTGCACTGTCATCAATAATAATGAAATGCAGGGCAACTTTAATATCATCAGTAGAGCTAAATTTTTCCAAATTCAGTAGAACAAAAAAGTCAATGTCAAATGATTGCATGCTACAAATACACAGAATACCACAAAACAATATATAGTACACTGCTAACTTATTAGAATGATCGCGGCTTTGAATTTGTCTCTGTTTTAAATAATAATTATAATATTTACATGTGCATGTAATTGTGACAATACCTGTGACTGCAAAACCATCTCCTCTATAAAAATGAATGGTAGTTAAAACTTGAAATTACATTGGAACATATACCTTCCAAAATATGCTTTACATCCTTAAGCAAATCCTGAATAATAGGAAGCAAATTCACTTGTTCCTTGGAATAAAGACTTTCAAAAAATAATGAAAGGTCCCTAGAAAATATTGAACTAGCATATCCTTTAGTTAGCAATACTAAGCAATCATAAAGATCAGAGCAAGCATTAAATAGAAAATTAGCCTATTAAAATAATAATGAATTAGTATGGGTACATTTTAAACAATAAGAAACCTTTGCAATAGTATCTTGAGTCCATGCATTTATATTGATTTGTGGCAGTGAAGAAACATTTTGCAGGTTTTCAATAGATTTTCTACACAACAAAACAACATCAAAGCTTAGACTAGGATCTGAAATATAAATAGAACAAAATCTCTTCTTGGCCATAAGAAAATCTCTTCTGTATAAAGAATTACTGGCATTAAAACTTTGATACATAAAACAAACCGTAATTCCCAATTCAAGTTAAAAAGTAAATTTTTCAAGACTTTAATAGAATTACTATCAACATTAAGCATGCCAGTGGTTAACCATGAATCCTGACTAGGAGCTCTTAATTTCATACAATTCTCAAGAAATTGAACATAGACCTACGACAAATCAGTGCATTATTCTATAACAATGAAATACAAACTTGATAACAATTAGGTACAAAATCATTCTGAAATTCTTTTATATTAGTAGCATGAAGCAAAACACTTCTTACAGATACAACTCCATCAAGAATACGAGCCTTATCATGTTCAAAGGTATTTACCTAATAAAGTATAATTATCTCAAAACTAGGTTTTTTTCAATACCACAGTGATGCATTCCTTTGGGAGGATATCACGCATGGATTCCAACATAAATACTAGCTGTGAAAGGGTTTGATTAAGCTGTAATGAAACCAAGATGGTAAACTTATATTAAAGATTTTTCTTACAAATATGCTCCTTTCTTGATGAAGTGTAATAACATGTGAGCACCAATCTATTAATGTCGCAAATGCAATATACTTGTAGTCAACAAAATTTGTGGCCAAGCTCCATTTATAAAAACCATTTACCTATAAAAATTGTTTACATACCGCATAGGGGTTATATTTCACTGGAAATAAATTTTGCGAATTACGCATTTTCATTAAATTCGCGAAATTAAATTCCACAAAAGAGGTGTGGCACACTAGTAAAAATGGCTGCAGAAGGTAGGATTCGCGAAAATTTATACCAACAAATGGCAAATCTGGACAAATTCGCGAAATTTTATATCAACAAAATAAAACTCCTATACGGTATAGTATCAGGACAAATACCGTATAGCGAAAAATTTTAGAGGGAATTAAATTTGGCAAATTGGTGTTTGATAGCCATTTGCCAAAATAAAAATTCATCATTTTCAGCCATGATGTGCATGCTCAATGGCACGTGGCCACAAATTTGCCACATTAAAATCTGCCAATTACATGTATATTCACCAAAATTTAGCAATTCGGCAAAATTTACTCTCTCCAAAATTTTCAGCTATACAATAAGAAATATAAAACACAAATTTTAATTTTATCAAAAATCACACAATATAAACAATAAAGGATTAATCAATCAATCCCTTAGTAAATGTAACATAAATTTTTAGACTAAAAGCATGCATGCTCATAACATCATTACATGAATTAAAAGTAACAAGACTTACAACTTCTAGCAGTGGTGTTATTTCTGAGTTTATATCTAAAAATAAGTTACAAAGCTGGTTAATTGTAGAGCAAGGTTGTAGTGAACCAATTTTAACTGACAGAGATAACTACCAATTAAACAATAAAGACCAATTATATATATATATATATATATATATATATATATATATATATGCACTGTATGCTGTACCAATTTTTGAGACAGATTAGTTACACAAACAGAGTAAGATTGCTGAATCCTACATGTTTCAGACTCAGTTCTTAAAAGTAAAAGTGGCTCTTGTCGCATAAGCATAAATTTATGCTTATTTTGAATTATAACCTAAATAAAATAAAATACAATGGTTAAATGTTAGAAGGTCATATGTGTCCATGGTAATTAAGATAATTTTGAATACTTTTGTAAATTTCGATTATAACACCAGGCAGGTTTACAAACAGTATGCCAGCTTTCAATATAAAATTATACTATGGACAAGATTAATGGCAATTTTGGCATTTTTATAGCCGTGTGCAAAAAATATACTATTTTGAGCCATTATAAACATCATGCACATGGCTAAAAAAATTATAAATTAAAGCTGCCAAGACAAAAAACTTAACAATTTATTTCTCTAAGATTGCAAATTATTGGTACACACCGTACAAGCTTAAAATTTCATGGGGTATTTAATTTTGTGGATCTTGCAGGTGATTTCTTAAACCACAATAATTAATACTGTGGAAATACTCATGCACTGCAAATGCATTTAATTCCAGTGCCCTCAAGATTAAAAATTAAGACTATTCCACAAAAAAAATTTTATACCCTCAAAATTTACTACCTGTATACACAGTAGGTTGAGCAAGAAGCCCATCATACTTACTTCAGACTCCAGAAAAATTGATGCATCTTTCCATGAACTAAGAATATTTTCTAGTTCATAAATATTACTTTGAATAAGTTTACAAGGTTTTGCAACTGGCTTCTCATCTCGTATCCACAGAACAGCATCTTTAATATATTTTTGGAGGTTCTGAATTCGCTTGTCAACATCAAAGCACTGTCTGTCCTATAAATAAATCGAATTTGTTTAGTTTTTAGGATTATAATGCAAACATGTAGTTTTAAAAAGATTTGGCATACAAGTTGTTTCAAAAAATGATACTGTAATTGGTCAAAAAATAGTGGAAATAGGCATTATACATGTAATTTAGCATTAAGCTTAAGTGCAATTTTGATTTTAATCAAATTCTATCAATGAAATAATACATGGGCATGTTCTTTCCATAAATATATGGAAGTATTTAAAGTTTTTTGTTCCTTACACATGTATGAGATTTAAACAATAATGTAAGTGTTAAAATTTTAATTCCAACCATAATTATGTTAATTTTGTAGCCTCAGGAACTTTTGCATGCTAAAATGAATATTATTTCAAAATTAGTTTGTACTGGCATTTTCATTCACCTTTTGTCAATTATTAAGTACAAAGTTGATTGAAGCCATATCAATAGAGCACGCATTTTTTTACCAAATTAATTTTTTTGCAAAATTTGTATTTTGCATAAATTTATAAAACTATAATGTGTGGCAAATTAGAAGATTTGCAAAATTTTTAATCTGAAAAAACTGGTAAAATTGATACCCACTAAAACACTGCAAATCCTAATAATTTCAAGCACAAAGGCTTTTTTAATGCTCCTAGTAATACTGGATATTGCTGAAATTATGATCAAAGGGGCTGAATAACTTTCTATGAGGCTTAACTGGTAGGCCATATTTTTGAAAAAGTCCCTCATCCTGCTAAATACATCACTGAGCGAAATGTCAATGTTTTCGGTACAAAATATAGACCAATTGGCGCTAAGTATATTCAATAGAACTTTAAGTATATTCATAGTGATACCCTAACAAAATAAAATTTATCTACCACCATTTTGAAGTCCTAGTTCCAATAATTGTCTATGGAGTCATCATGAAAAGAGAGTATTCTCCAAAATCTGCTGTATTTAATAGCAATCTTGCTACTGCTTACGACCATCCATGCATCATCCAGTGTCCAGAGTTGGCTCATGGACTTTAATAAGAGCCATTAGGACATATAGAAGCAAAAATATTGCTTTCTCCCATTCTACTCTTAGTTAACTATGACTCCAAAATGGCGGTAGGAAAATTTTACTTTATTTACGGTATCAGGATCAATATATTAAAAAATCTATGAGCATATTTAGCACCAACTGGTCTATATAACTGTCACCAAAATTTTAAAACAAACCTTTTAAGGTCACAAAATAAATGCAGAAACACTATACATGATTTTAACCACAACTACTTGTCCTTTGACTCACATCTATGTATGATCCAAGTAAGATTATATTATAACAAAACTGCCTTAGCTTTCCTTCATTAATGAAAGCAACCAGACTCAAAGCATTTGTATCTTCTGGGTTAGTAATACTTTTAAAATAGTTTAAGGAACTTTCAACTTCTTTCCAAACACTTGATTCCTACAAAATATACAGTCTTATACATGTATAGGAAACCACAAAATTCATTTAAACTACCTACCTACAAACAAATTAACCATTGTAATGGACATACAATTTGTAATCTTATTTGTATAAAAGTGGTATGCTAATACCTAGTAAACCCCACAATATTAATGTTGCTCCTTGTCTTGCTGTAGCAGAAAAGGGTGTGGTGCCAAGAAAGGTATATGTAAGTATAACAGTGACTGCCACTATCTGATTTTTATCTGATTCCTTACTATTGTTTTTGCTTTCCCTATTTCTAACTTAATATGTCATGTGCATTGCTGTTGACTTAATTATCAAACCATTATGATACCAAGTTCTAAGACCTGTATTCAGACACCAAGGTAATTTTTTCATTTCCCAGATTATATTTCCATGACAAGCCTTTAAAAAATTACAAAATCTCCTTACAACCCACTAAAATAGACACTTAAAAATCATTAACTGCTGGACACCAACAATAGCTACTCTATAGGCAGGAATGATGAAAAAAGGAGAAGGAAGGTACAAAAGTTTAGGATTTTCTTTTTTTTAAAAAATAAATTTAAGAGTCATGCTCTATATGGCATGGAAATTAAGAAAGACTGGCCACACAAAGTAACCCACTATATTGAATTTAGAATGTAGATAAGTAAGTGTATCTTATATCTTAGTGATGATGTGCATCAAAGGTACTGCGTGCACTATAACCCAGCAAGACCACAGGAGTGCATGATCTAAGCCACCCACAACAATGCTTTAACCCACCCACAATGATGTTATAAGCCACCCACAATTCAATCAAAGATTTTTATTACTATTTTGATAAAAAACAATTATAATTTTTTATAGTCTTGATGGACTTGTGCAGGATTACCGATTACACGAAGTGGGCTGTAAAAAATTTCATTGATTGGAAAACCTCTTATAAAGGTCGTCATTCCAAGGAGCCATGCCCTGATGATGTATTGTGTATTGCTTTTTCGTTTGGATCAGCATCTTTGAATGGGTGTACAATTAATGTATCAAGGTGCTTAAGATGGGAGTATTTTTAGGTACAAAACAAGCTTGGTATGTCCACAAGGACTTCTTGGGCTCACAAATCTCTCTCCATCTGGTGTTTTGTCCTCTAATGACACTTCTATCTCTTCTTCTAGCTTTGGCACTATTTCCATCCCTTTTTCAGGTACAGTTTCCACTTTTTTATTGTCTGATACCTTACTTCTTCTCAATCTCATGCTCACAAGCTCCCAATCAGTATTATTATTCAATGTCCAGCACGTGGTAAATCTCCACATGTGTGTACGCAGAGCCTTTGATGTTTGTCATCCTGACATAAGCAATTATAACAGTCACCTCACCCTTAGGTGCACGCGCCCTCGGGATCGGTGACTGCAAATTAGATACATCAATCCTAGCCATCATGTGTTATAAGTATTACATACACTTACGTAGTCTTGTTAATTTGTGATGATGTTTTACAAGAGTAAAATGATTTTATCCAGTGTTCTTACTAGGATTTTTCTTCAGTGGGGTGGGTATGGCCATAATTTTTTGCCTTATGTTGGAACTAATTTAAATTTTTGCTGTTAAAGTAAAGCAAGGCTTCCAGTTGCAACACTCAGTAATATAATCATTCCTTTCTGTAGAAAACTGGTCTATTGAGTAGTTTATGTAATAATACTAAAAAATAAAGTGGTGCATAAATAATTCTATTGGCTACCAGGTGGAGCAAAACTCAATCCAGGTGGTACTGTTACACCTGAAATCTGAAAAAGGCCAAGAAAGTACAATGATTTTATCTGTAAAAATTCACCAGTGGTTACTTCAGATTCACTGACTACATTAATACTGATACTTTCAAAACTATATCTGTCGATGCTCATGTTGGCTGGCATGTTTTACATCAAGTCACAAGTGCCTTTTCTAAAGACTTTTGCATTTTGGATACCTTATTAATTACATGCAGCAGCTAAAACAATATAGTTGAGTAAGAAAGATGTCAATAAAAGCAGTCCAGAGGATCCTTGTATATACAAACCCCAAGGCTAATTATCATGACCACTAACTATACCATGTATGCCATTAAAATAATATTATAATGATATTCATTACAGATACTAATAAATTAAGTGTCACACCCACTGGATGGAGTCTAAACAAGTATGGATAATTTCATCATCCAAAGCAAGCCTAATTCCAAGGTCATTAGGCTCCCAACTGTTGCAAAACACTTAACAGAGAAAACAACTGGTACTAACTACTAAGAGTGAAATATAGAAATAAACATGCAGATCCAGTGATGTGGTAGATGCAGATCTAAAGCTTATTTATTCTTTCTTATATATAATGCTTTTTGTTTTTCATTAGTTTGAAAGCAGAAAGCTTGAGGTCAGCATTCAGCAAATACATTGCTAGTATCTCTTGCTGTCCAGTGTGGGTGGCTATACAATATATACAGTGCAATTAGTGATTGTGATAATTAGCCTTGGGATGGGTTATTCTTTGGGATGCCAGTGACACTGTGGCAGTCTCAAGAATGACAATTCTGGCTCTCCTTGAATGTAAGTTCTAAGTCATAAAGCATCTAATGGACTGCGTTTAGCTCAATAAAGCATGTTTTGGGGCAAAATAGCTCAACTTAGCTTGTGGTAGCCATTGCATTTTAACTTAACGAAAACCTTGTTGATAGTAATACATAGTCTCACCCCACCCCTTTGCTACCTGCGGAGAAAGGATCTGGTAACACTGCCATCTAAAATTTGTGCAAAGAAGAATATGTGGTTGGCTCTACATCATGTGACAAGGAGACCAGATCAGTCAAGATAGCTGAAACAGATGCTTTGCAGCAAAGATAAGATGAGGATAGAGTTTCTTGGATATCTCTTGCAGATTTGAGAGCAGCAAATCTTCAAAGAGTGCCCCAGTATTTTACTTATTATTAATGACATTTTATTATAAACACGTGACAGCATTATTATGTCATAAGTGCGATGGCGTTGCTGTAGTAAACAGGACAGTAATGGTACTCTTAAACCTTGAGAAAGAAGTCCAGGAGGCATTATAGGCTCCTTCCTTTCTTTTTGTCCTCATTCTTCCTTTTTTGTCTTAAACAGAGATCTTCCATCATATGACTGCTTGTCCTACACAAAGGGGGTGTCACTTGCATATAGCCTCTAGTTACACTTGCGACCGCAATCAAAAGCTTTGATCTGCATAAGAAGACCTTTGACACCTTGATTTACAGGCTTGATTTCCCTTGATGCTTGATTTTGATGATCTCACGTGCATGCACAACTAATTAAAAATTCATAGATCTGCATAATCAAAGATATATGGAAAATATACATATCTTGATGCCTGCTATAGACTGTCTTGATCCCTTGATCACAACCTGATTGTCCCTTTGATGTCTTGATTTTGATTTGATCGCAGTCACAAGTATAACTACAGGCTAGATGCAAGTGGCACCCCCTTGCTACATGTGGTTCGAGCAATCTGATCGGGACGCCACATTCTCTGGCATGAAGCACACATTTTAGATAGCAGTATCTCCAGACCCTTCCTCCACAGGTAGCGAAGGGGCGGGGTGAGACTAAGTAATACACAGCTCTCAATTATGCTGGAGCACATATGTTTTTACATGTATCAATACATGGATATGGTAGCTTACAAGTAAGGTCTTAATAATAACTAGATCTAATCCATGTTTATAATATTAACTTTAAATTTATCTGTTATTCTTGAAATTTCGCTAATTTCAGGTCGATTTTCAGACAAGGAAGTTACAATCCCCAAAGCCATTTCAATCTAGTAAAAAATAAAAATATATAAGAAATAGCTCTTTCCATCTCGAAATGATATTTTATTTACATCATCATTCACTTTCTTCTTTTGAGCGGCTTTGTTATCGACCGTGAAAGAGTGAGAGGACATGACAGAGTTATCTCTTCGTCGAGGTCTTCGTCTACGTCTATTAGGCTACGACGTGTTCTTAATTGGCTTTTTATAAAAAAAAATTCAGTTCCCCGCGGGCAACCAAAATAATAGTCCTGATCGGCTACGACTACGACCAGCTACGAAGAACCATAGTTAGCGAACATGGCTCAAAAGGGTCATCAAATCAAGCAGCAACCTATAGAGGAGAGTGAAGACGAAGAATATGAACAGCAAGCCCTGATTTTTCAGTATCTATCTAAATCTAGAGTAAACAAAGACACATTGTGGAGCGTTATCATTCCCCATATAATGTCAATGGGTTTTTCCACTGTGGATGACCTTCAAGACCTTGAGATGAAATATCTCGACAATAACGGTGATTAGACTCTTTGTATATCTTTTTATGTCATATTTTAATTTAAAGATATTACACCGCTAGACAAAGATAGAATCATAAAGGTGGTCTCATCATCAAAAAGTTTGGAAGCTTTTACAAATCAAGTGTCAAAAGCGGCACAGCAAGATAAAGAAGACACAATATACATTCGTTACATTCTATGCAGCAGAGATCTATTCTCAAATGATATCAAGGAGTCAACAATTGAAGATATTAAGCGTACCACACCTCTTAAAGATATAATAGCTGTCATTTATGATAATAGTAATGTAGCAGCTAATGAGGTGGCTGAGTTGTATTCTGGTGAAGGATATCCACTACACAGCAATGAACTGACTAATGAAGGTGAGAATGCAGCATTTGGTTACTGGATGCTTTTGTAAATAAAATGGGTGGGTGGTTTGACCTTTATACCAGCCCTCAATTGTTCAATCAAATTTTTTTAATTTTTTAATAGAATCATTGATGAGGTGGGGTATTGATGATGGTGACCTTTTTTATGTCCTAATAAGAAAAAAAGATCAGCCTGGACAGCTACAGTTTGCTACACTACCTAAAGTTGATTATGACATAGGTAAATTTGCAGTAGTATTTTGATTTAATAGATCTAAGTGTTAATATTATCTATGATTTGATTCTTTTATAGGTCAGGAAAGCTTTATAGTAGAAACACCCTTTATGAAAGACTTCACTGTTAATGCTTATATTGATTCTGATTCACCTGAAGACATAGCACAGAAAATATATAGTATCACTAATATACCAGTACCATACATGAGCTTATATGTAAGGTGTGAATGCTTCTGTTACAATGAATGGGGATGTATTACTGTAATTTTTAGGAAAGGTTGTCATTTTGGAAAGCTTAACACATTTACAGAATTGAATGATGATGATATTATTCGTGTTGTTTTACGCAACCCACAAGAAGTAGCCACTCCACGGTCACGTCATTATGGCAGTCGTAGTTATAATCCTTTGGTACCTCAAACAAATGAAGGGATCTCCAAGTTCTTTTCAATTTTAAAATTTTTGGTAAGATTATAAAATAATACTTTATACGTGTAAGTCTATATACTCATTAGTGTTCAGTGCAGACATACAATAAGGAATATAAATTTGAGAAGCTCCTGTGTTATATGTTGAAAATAACAGAGTTCCCACCACTAGTGCATGCTCTTTATACGTTAAAGGAACAATCATTTTTAACTATAGCAGGATGGGTAAGCAATTATTGATTTTTTATCAAGCATAATATATTCATTTATTTCACAGACTGCACTTATTGAGGGCTGCTACTGTCTTTTTAAAGCTATTTTAAGTCACCAAATACATGGTAACAATATGTTTGCCTCACTATGATAACCATTGTTTGTATAGTATCTGATGATGAAGTGTTTGAGTTTTCTGATTACACTTGGGGATTACTAATACATTTGTCTAAAGTAAGTCATTCATTAAGTGATATCAGCCAAACAGTATCATCCAGCCAAACAGTATCATTCATGTGTAATGCTCACTTCCAAGCATTTAGCAAATTCATTATTAACACTTATCCTATGAATAATTATTATAGGAAATAACCGAAATTAATTGTGTTGAATTCAATCAAGTGTCTCTTGTGTGTCCATTATCAGAGAAGAGGATACAAACACCAATTCATGTAGTCAATAACTCTGACCTGGGACCCTTTGATAAAACTAACATACTCTCAGCACCACAAAGTAACAATTAACACTTCTATTTAATAATTAACCTTATGTGCACGTAGGCTTGTCAAATTATGGAATAGATTTTGAAGTGACAGGTGACATTTTAATAGAAGATGAAGATACAGCTCGATACCTTATGTATTATCCTTGGGAAAATGATGACAAAATATTTGTGTGGGAAAATCCACCTAAACCAGATATATCTATGTCAGTTAAGATCTGTAGTCCATTTTTATTATTACTATAAACTTTAGGACATGTAAGAAAGTATGTGTGCAGTATAGTTTGGATATGATAACTGACTCTTTGTCTGAATTGTGCATTGTTCATCCTCATGGTCTGTTTGCTGGAAATGAATGCTTGACATATATAAATAGAGGTACTTTACTTTATATTACATTTACATACATTTTGTTGAATTACTTTACCTCTTAGGTCAATTGGTATATTTTCTTGGTGCTGCTAAAGGCACAGATGAGAAGCGTAGATTATATAACCCTGTTTCCAGCAATGAAGAGTACATTTTATCACTCTCTAAAGCTGAATTAATGACTATTGGACAGTAAGATTATAAATAATAATTCACTGGTAGTTAATTGTAATTCTGTAGTCAACAGTTAAAGGAATTTGTATCACATGATTTAACAGCTAATTTAAAGGCTATCAGTGGTATTTATAGTCCACAGGAACTGACTATTACAAGGTAATAGTTTACAAGTGATGAATATTATTAGAATATTCATAGATTGTCAGCTGTCATAGAGCCACAGGAAAGCATTCAATGGGAACCTGAAGAAGCCATTGTTGTAAGTCATGTGTTTGGCAGATACATGTACAACAATTTTTTTACTAACAATTGCCATGCTTTTTTTGAACTACAACGCCTGCACTATTTTGTCTTTTGTAAGGTTTTACTCGACCACAGTGGCTCAATGGGCAGTGCAGTATATTCAGAGTATGTTAATCTTTGTATTAATGTACTTGTACTTTAAGTAAAATTAGGTTGCCAAATTTGAGAAGAATAGATGCTGCTAAAGAGTTATTTAATGCTTTTGCTACAAGAACACAAGCTTATAAACTGCATCATGCATTTGGCCTGACTGTATTTGATCATGGTGTAGAAACAACATTAGCATTGACAAAAAATGTAGAAAATTTTGAGGTATTTTAAAATGACTGTCAGATTGTATAAAAATGATTTGAAACAGGATAGCCTAAAAGGAGTTGAGCCAAGTGGAGGTACAGAAATTCCTACTGCTATAATAAATGCTGTGACACAACTTTCAAGATACAGTTGTATGAAGTACTAATTTGTATAATAGTGTCTGAACACAATGAGAATTTTTACAGGAGAATACTTTGTTTAACTGATGGTGATTATGATGCATCATATGAATCTGCATTTAATTTTGTTAAAGTAACATAGAAAATACAAGTAATTTATTTAAAATAATTTTAGGCATATAATGTCGTAGTGGATACTGTATTACTGATGGAAGCTGATGTCACTAATAAACTGAAAGCTCTTTCACATGCCTCAGGTACAATGTGCATGTATGTCTCTGTAGATGTACAATGTATAGTAGCTACATGCATGTAACTTTAGTCAAATATGCATGCATTCTATTCTTCAAAACAAACCTCAACCCGATTTGCCAGTGTTATGCATGAGCACTATTAGTATGTTTGTCCTTTGAAGGTTTAGTTATCTATAGACTAAGGTTAAGACTCTTATTTATTCTAAAAAGGAGCTCTAACTTACTTGTTAAGAGCTCATCAAATTGCAAAAAATCTCACTTTTTGGTCCATAATGCATTTTTTTCAGTCACAAAATTAGTACAATATTTGAAAGCTTTGTATATTTATCTTTGAAAGTTGACAGCTGTAATAAACCTTTAAGCTACATTTATAACCTTTGTTTGACAAAATCTGCCATTTTGTTTTATTTAAGACACATCTAATTGCCAATTCAACATTTTGAATTTTTACCAGTTATTATATATTCTTGTGTCAATCTTTCAACTGTAAGGAAGACTGTACTCCTTATGTACATGTACATGTAGGTGGAGTATGTATTCGTCCTCGCTCAATGCAAGAGGCTTTAAAATTTTTTGAATTGGACTCTGTACTCTCATTGAGGGAAAGACAACTGTCATATTCTTATGCTGGAGTAAGTTAAGCAATTTCATCTCTTAAATCTTAAAATCTATTCTAGCAACCATTGCATAGATGTAGTTATACACAATTCGAAACTGAAAACAGTTTTAGATCCAAACACCAATTGAGCTATCAACAGCTGCAAACAATAACAGTTAAAAGGTGTCAAGTTAATTACCATTGTTCCATGTATAAATATAATACTGCCTGCATGTAGTTACATTGACAGAGATAGAACTGCTTTACAATCAAACACATCTTCTAAGCAAAGAAGAATTTTGAAAGAAATGAGGGACTTTTTACATAGTCCACATGATGACATAAGAATCTATCCCTGTGATACTGAGTGAGTACATTGTTACAATATTGTTTTCATGTCTATGCATGTACAATTAGTTGCAACAAGTGGAAAGTTTTAATGAGAGGACCCCAAGAGACCTGCTATGAAAATGGTGTGTACTACATGTACACTACATGAATATTATTTTATCTCACTGCCCATAAATTTACTTGGCAGGTGCCTTTGTTCTCGGTATTGAATTTCTTGAGGGATATCCCAGTGTACCACCAGAGGTCAGATTCCTGACGCCAGTAAGTGTACATACACATGCAACCATACATGTGAGCGTATCTACACATCATGACATGCACGTGCAATGAACGTGCTTTCATACAGGAATAAGAATACTACACTACTACATATGTATAATGTACATGTATATGCATAACCTTATTACATTGTATGTAGTGTGTTATGAGAATGCAGTTCAATAAAATAACAGTGTATTTTGATAACTGCTGGCACAATTCTTGTAGATCTATCATTGTAATATCAGTTCCAGTAGTGGTAGGATATGCCACAGTATTCTGGGAGAGGCCTACACTCCAGCTACTAGTGTGAAGGATATATTGTGTCACATATATGGGCTACTAATGTCACCTGATCTTGACAGTCCATTAGACAGGTATATTGTAAATTAGTTGTTTATACTTTATACACAGGTATTGTGTACATGTAGACAGGGATGGTTTGATGTACCTTGTAAATGTTAGGAGAAGCATATGGGCACAGAAATGGTACTACATAAAGTCAAACTGCTATACCAAATACCACTAGATTTAAGGGATGTAATTGGTATGCTAGCTTTAGAAGCTAAAACAGTTGTTGTTTGAGCTATTAGCAAGTGTGGGCACTATTTTTACCACAAGTTATTAGTTATCTTTATCTCTCATTACAGTACACTAGCAGATGAGTTTGGGTATCTTAGGCACAGAGAAGAGGATCTAGATAAAGACATTGATTGGTACGAGTATTTCCATGAAGCAGATGAATATTTTAGAAAGGCCCAGTCACATGTACGTACTCATGCTATGAAGTCTTTTGATGCATTACACTTAGTAAGATAATTGTAGAATTATAACTATAATTAATATTATTGTTGCAGGAATTATCTGCTGCATACTGAACATGGACTATAATAACTTTGCTAACACATTAGTATATTGCCCTGTAAACTCTGATAGCTTTAGTAGTTTTTATTACTTGTAGATACCAGTAAATAGATTGTCAATAGCGTCAGTAGCCAACTGTAACTAATAGCTCACCTGCTTGACATAACAATTTGTCACAGTTCATGATTATGAGCTACACTTATGATGTTTAGGTAATATTCCATTTCCATGTAATGGAAACTTATTCACAATAAAGGACACTTCCCAGATAGATACTGTAAATATATTCATGCCTAATACTTGTCTGATAAGTTATTCCTAGTATTTGGCTATTCCTAAGGAATCACATCCAAGTCACGAACACTTGTTATGTACACACTAGGGCTGTACTGAACAGCCCTATAACACATACATGTACACAGCTGTTGACTGCGGCTACTCAGCTACGTGTACATGTAGGAGTAGCCAGACTCCTGACGCCAAAATTAAATGGAGACCAGAATGGATGTACATGTACAATCCACAAGAGTAAGTACACATTAGTATAAAAAAACACAGTTATTGTGTCTTGCAAAACAATGTTACTGAAGATGAAAATACATTCACTGTGCAGTGATAATGCCAGACTGTGGATTATCAAATATTGACAAGTACATGTATAATGTATATGGTTATATTAAAATGGCTAATAATCCTACAAAACATTTTTTAAATACCTTGATTGATGGACAAGTTTGAGCCAATTCTGATATTAGTCTTAAAATGTTTTGCTGAAAACCACATTTATGTGCAATAATTTATGCATGTACATGTATTTATAGTCCTTAGGCTTCTTAATGGTTATCTGTACATTCTGTCATGCAATAATCCACAAATTATAGAGTTATGAGCCTTGTAACTAAAACAATAATAAGTACAATGTAGGTGCAATTTTATTTAAATAGCTATCGCTAGCCAAAATTAACAGTGACAAATTAAAAAATAAAGAGGAAATAGAATAAATTAAAATTAAATAAACAATAGTTAAAATGGTATCAATTTGACAATATTAGATATAGCATAATAGGTACAATGTACATGTATACATGTAGTGTAGTTATAAAATTATATAATACACAATATAAAATTAAAGATTGTAGCACAGAGATCAAATATAGTCATTTCCATACTCTCTGCCACTAACCAGTACCTCAGCTTTTCTGTAATGAAAATAAGTGGCTTCATGACAGCTAGGATCACAATCAAAGTAATGTGGTTTAGTCTCTGGCTGTTCCTTCATTGTGGATGTCCTTATAATCTCTTCATCTCTTGGACACTTTATAAACTTGCAACAGCTAGCAGCATAATGATACTGTACTGATCTCCTCCTAATAATTAAAGCACTTCATCATCACATGTAGGTTTTCATATGTCAATATAAATTTGATGGTCTTAGTTACTACTGTTACTGTAATGTGAAGGTAAAGTAATAAAAAGGTTTAACAGTAACTATAATAAAAGACAAAAGGTGACTAAAATTACATGTAAATGTAAGTTAAGGTAACTTAACTTTTTTGGCTTTGTCTCAGTTTAAGGTTGATTTTCACTGACTATTATACTGGAAAATTTAGTGGAGAAATAGATTGCTGGTTCAATATTTTAAATGTAAATAATAAATGCAATAAGTAGATTCTGACCATTCTGTCATGAGTTGCATGTGATACAGGAAACTGAATAAGATAACACTTTTGAAATATTTAAATCAAAATTGTGGGTGAGATTCCAGCATTAATAAAGCAGAGGCAAAGTTAAAGAAAATATGGGAGTACATGTACTTAACAAAAAATACAAGATAACAACTCGCCAAATTAAGTATTGCATTTAAATTTTCCAGCTATCATTGTATATGCTACATTGTATGAAGTATAGTAAAAATATCAAAAATTTTTCGTTTATTACTTTTAGCTGATTATATTTCTAAGCCACATAAGTGCATGAAGAATTCAATGTTCAATAATGCTTTGCTTGCTCATGTAGCTGTACATCAATAACTTCATACATGTATACAATAGTGTGGCTCGGGATCTACATGAGCCCCTCAGTGTTTTGCATTCCTCTAGTTGTATTTGTATTGTAATGATGCCAAAATCTGAAAATGTTTCTAGTGAATAGTTTAAGCCATTAGACTGCATAGGTGGGTACAAGCAGTTGGGTTGTTGTACTTGTACTTGTACCACCTGTCATATTGAACTGAAATCATGTGATGAGGGATATAGGGCCAGAAATTTTTCCCCCATTATGCCAGCATAATAACTTGCCCTATTATGCTCCAAATTATGCTAGCTTAACTTGCATGGTCCTATCAACCTCTCCTAACAGACCTTGGTATAATAAATTCCATAATACCTCACCTAGTTGCATATAATAATATATGTACATGTAAATATTTATACATATAGATGTACACATGTACAGTATCAGGGAACCACAAAATTTTTTTATCTTGCCAGCATTATTTTAGATAATTACAGTCTGGTTCTTCTGGAATCTTTTTTCATTGTATTGCAAATTTGCAATACTTCTGATTTGCAATAAAAGGGGAGATATTGCTAAAATTAGAAGTTAATGCTACATGTAACTAGTACAATTATTATTACATTTCGTAAACAAATTACCTCAGCTGCGAGACATTAGGTGGTGTATAGTGAGCAAGCTCTCCATGAAATATCAAAGCATCTCCTGGCTCTAGTATAACTGGGATTACCTATAGTGGATATGATAAGTGTATTATTTTTTAATACCCAAAACATCACAATAGTCCTAATAAATTGCTCTTTATTGAGCTGTATTTTAGGTTAAGGGTGGCGTTTGCTGACTATGTGTACATGTACATGCATGTATACAGCGTATACAATTGTACATGTACATGCAGTCAGATTGAGTCAGTCAAAAGTTGCTATGCAACTATAAGTGTTAAATCACTTACCGTACATGTAGATCATGTAAGAGGCAGTTCTTTTTAATTTTACAACTTGCAAGTACATGTAAATGTAAGAGTTAGTTTGCAATAAATTCTAATACACGCACATGTGCATGAAAGTCAGGGAGTAAAATACAGTGTAACAAACTAGTGCTAATGGCTGCATTCCCATTTTATTCAGAATCAATTGATTAAAAATGTGTCAGAAGATGCACATGTATACCAGTACATATATGTATGTATACATCAGAAAATTAGAGAATTCTAGCTGTGCTAGCGGGTAAATGTAGTTTGTCAAATGAAAAAAAAAATCTAATTTTGATTAATAATAATAATAATAATTTATCTTTTCAAAACAAAGAAAATTTAGGGACAAGAGTTGTAAAGAGAAAAAACATAAACAGGAGAATTTTTGAAGGACTAGCACATAGAAATGTGTAGCCTAAAGTAAAATTTAAAAACATTTAAATTAAGAAATGAAACATGTAGAACAGGGGCACACAAAGTGGAATGTATGAGGGGAGTCTGAATCAAAAAAAGAATTAAAATGTAACCATAAAAATCAATAATTTGTTTTCTAATAGAGGGATAGGATTTAGAGAGGTCTATTGAAGGTAATTTGTTCCACAATCTGACAACACGAGCAAAGTAAAAGTGTCTGGTAGTAGACAATGTATGATATTTACAATACAGTTTCCCAGAAGAACCAGATCGAGAACCTGGTCTACAGAAGGTAATGAAAGAGAAGATGTCAAAGTTTTCTGGAGGGAAAAGTATGCATTTGACCAGGAATAGCAGGTCTTGTAGGTCATACCAGTACATGATTGAAATTGACTCAAAGTTCAGGCCCGTAGCCAGGGTTACAAAAAGGGGGGTGACGAAGTATGAGTTACATAAAATGGAGGGTGACAAGTAGGCCTGGATGCACATGAAATACCAAAATACATGTTTGATTTAAGCAAACAAACAAAGGTACTAACTCAAAAGGGGGGTGACATGTCACCCCAATCACCCCCCCTGGCTACGGGCCTGAAGTTTTAAGGCCTTTTCACACTGGCCAAAGTAATGTGCATTGATGCACATTAATCTTGTTCACACTAGAGTGGTTTTGAATTAATGCTCATCAATGCCATCAGTCTCACTTCACCTGGAGAGGTGGATTGATGTGAAGTGATGGGCTTCGATTAATGTAAACCAATGGCAACAAGAACACAAAATGATACATAATTCAGCAGCTAGTGCAGGATCATTATTTCAGCTGTATCAACAAAGCGCATCAAAGTGCTTCGAAAACTGTGCCAGTATGAAAAGGCTTTTAATGTAACATAAGAGCATGTATGCATGTACATGCAAAACCTGAGATCCTGAAGCGGCATTGGGCGAATAAGAACCTATAAAAGTCTCATCCTTATCCCACATTTCTATAAAAAGTTATTCCAGTTTTTCTTGGTCCAAACTCAGTTGGGACATAGTATACATGTACGAAACAGAAATTGTAATAAAACAGAGAACGCTATCTTAGCCATTTTTGATAAATTCTCTTTTGTCGAACTTATGTGCAACTTAAAAATTCACAAATATCTAATTACAGTATCAATCAAAATCAGCTCAAACTTTCTATACAGCATATGTACATGAAAATAATCATGATCACAATGTTGAGGTTAAAATGTAAAGTATAACATTACATACACGTACATGTACATTTAAGTATTATACAGTATGGTGTCACAGTGTATTTCATTATGCATTACCTGACCTCCTCAATATTAGCCCTTAGTTATATGCCTATACCCTTGTACATACCTCTTCTGGTTTAGGATACTGTGACATCCCATACTCAATGAAACTAGCATCAGACTCATCATTAGGTACACCATGTTCAAACAAACCAGTGCCATGAGACGAAGGAAGAACATGCATACTAGAGAACAAAAAGTTACAATTTCAGTTGCCTACAAATATATGTATAGCAAGGAATAAAATAGTGGGAATATTTGGTGTGGCTTTATTTCATCAATTGATAGATTTTGATAAAAGTATTATAGTGAAACAAAATCTGTCATTTTTCTATATTCTAAGTTCTAACTAAGCATGCATGCTCAATGACATAAGACTGCAAAACTACCAATACAAAAATGCCAATACTTTAGAATTATCAATATTAAGCGCCATAAATGTTCCCAATATTTGCATTTACATAATAGAGTAAATTACCATCCATTGGCACATGAGGCTGGATCAAGTGCTATCCAACAACCCTGTGTATTAATAAATATCAAAGAGAGCTCTTAAAAGTTATACTTACTATTACACTTGATGGAGCCAATCTAAAGTATGCATTGTCTTGATGCCACCTCTTCTCACCTGATCCTATGAACAAAAAACATAAATCAACGTTGAATAATTTAGGGTTTTCCACAAAGCAGGCTCAGTGAGCTAAAAGGTGTGCATCATTAGCTAACAAGCACTACAACAGCACATGTATGCGGCTTTTGCAGAAACTTTAAAAAATTGTAACAAATCCAATTTTTAACCGAATTACCTCAAACTTGCTACACAACATAAGAACATGTATATGTACATGCATGTATAATGTATCAAAAAATATATATTTTTCAATGGAGAATTTTGTAATACTATGCATACATGTAGTACAGGGACTTTGGCCTAACTTCTGAGCAACTTTAAAAATTCATAAAAATCTATTTTTGGACAGAATTGAACTTTCTACACAACATACAATGTAAGAATTAAAAACTTGTGCATGTATTACAAAAAACTATAAAAATGGAGAATTCTATCCTTTTTTATTCTTCAGAAAAATTTAGCCAAAGACCCAGTACTGCATGTACCGTGAATCTTCTAAATATTCAACACTCTAATTTCGTCAAATTAAATATTTTTTTCCAAATTTTCACAAAATTACCTCTAATTATTCGATTATGCAAAATTACTGGCTGAGTATTCTAATTTCGACATAATCCTCTTATTTCGGCACATGATTGACCACGTGCTTCAGTCTACCTTACCAAGCAGTTGAGACTTTGGAATGACCCTCCCTCCAATTTAGTCAATAAAAATTATTTAAAACTACAAAAAACATTTTTAACCTCTAATTTTTCAATATTACTGATTTTAAGGTGAATTTAATTTGCTGAATTTTTAGAAGATTTACGGAATACTGTAAACGAACTTTGGCCCAATTTTTAGAAGATTTTAAAATTGGTAAAAAACTTTATTTCAATCAAAATCCGCTCAAACTTTCTACACAAAAATATAACAATACATTAGAAAATATCACAAAAATAGAGAATTCTCTGCAAGTCACTTTTGGGGAAATTTAGCTGAGAGGCGTTGGCCCAATTTTTGAGCAAATCCTTAAAAATTCAATTTTCATCAGAATCAGCTCCAAATTCCAACAAAGCACAAGAACATGACCATGTATGCATTAGAAAAAGTTACAAAAATTAAAAATTCTTTCCTAGCAATTAAAAAAAATACCCCTGTATAGTACATTTTGGTATTTTGTTCACTGAGAAGAATCTGTGTGCATGAGCACTATGCCAGAACTCTGTGGTAACCTTGCATTAATTCTTAGCTTACTACATGTCAATAATTACAATCAATATGTACTGTACACATGTAAACAATTTACTTATCAATAAATGGAACTATCACATAAAGTAGTGACAAAAAGCACTGTTTAATGCACATTTGACAGCAGGTTATATATGGGCCTAATGGCTTGCTCCTTGTGGGGAATTTTGTGGTTTTAATTGGAGGTTGACAGTTTATATCACCAGTAACTTAATTGCTTTTGCGGGCTTTAATTTTATGGTAAAAAAAAACATAAAAATAAAATGCCAAGAATACATGCACATCTTCCTATACAGTAAAGTGATGTGAAAGACATTGTACATGTACCTACCTACCTGGAGGTTTAAGTAGTGCCATGGACTGAAGCAGTTTGATATCATTGCCCAGTAACAGGTTTATAATACTAACAATCCTTGAATGACAGCACTGCTTGGCAAAGAACTCGAAATGAGCAGCTATCCTGTACAACTTCCTAACCTCTAGCTCAGGATCAATAGAGGAAGACTCACCACTTTTTACTGAAGGCAACCTACATGTAGATAAACATGTACACATTAAGAGCAGATGTAATTAGCTTATTTAATATAATTATGCAATTTGAAACACAATGTAACTAAGTGTGTAATTTTAAAAATTTAATAAAATGTATCAGTACACATGTACATGTACATAAGAAATAATATCTACAGGTAAAGTACAAGCATGCATGTTGTATACAAACCATTAAGTAATTAAAGCTTCATAGATACAGCATTTCCATAGCAATATGTACAACATGTACATTAGCTAATTCATATGCTAATAAATTGTAATAATTGTAACAATTGCTCCACAACTCTCATATTTAATTCTAACATTGATGCCACACTTCAATGAAGTTCATAAGATGTTTTACCTTACAAGTACTACTTGTACATGTATCTTGTCACTACAACTGTCAACATAAAGGTACATGTAGGTCTCAATATGAGTCATACACACTCTTTTTTGTGCATTAGCGATGCAATCAAACAAAACTGTGCATAATGTCAAAATGAAAAAAAATATAATTTGCTGATGCACATATACAGAAATGCAACTTGCTGAGATTTGACCTCAATGCATCCAGTAGTTTTAGAGTTATATAAGACCATAAATATTGCTAATATTAATTTTAATTTAATTGACTTAAATGTAGATAATAGATAAAAAATCTCATGCCTACAAAAATATAATCTTACCTGTTTACTACTTCTTCATGTTCTAATCCTTCAGTCCCAGAGGTTCTGAACCTCTCATACCAGTCACTAATGATTCTGCTGATCTGTTGTTTGGTCTCCTCCACCTCTTCTTGCGAGAATAATCCTCTTACAACCACAAACCCATCTCTAGCAAATCCCTCTGTATTGTCTGTACCGTGTCGCCATTCTGGATAAGTGAGTGAAGATGGAGAGAAAGGAGAGGATCTTTCAACACATGTACATGATGATATGGCGGTCATTTTTGCAAAACATCGAGCCACTCCCTTCTGAGCCACACCTCAGGGTCCACCCACACCACAGTGACCACACCTGCTCTAATGGCAGCATGGCTCAAGGAGGACTGAAGAAGAAATCTGGCAAGTTTGTTCCTCCTTCTTCAAAGTCTAAAGGAAACAAAAGCAGCAGTAGCAGTGCCAGTGGCTCGAAAAAACCTCAAAAGACTAGGAAAGGACGTAAGTAGTATAATTCTAATACTGTATTAGAGTACATTCTGGTATTATGAGTTCAGTAGTATTGTATTATGAGATACAAAACACTGTCACTTTTTCAAGTGACAGAACCGTCAATTTTTTACAGAGATTCCTACAGCGATCCTGTCCTTGGTCTACGGGAGAGACATGGTTGCCATACTTTAGCACAAAGCACTGGCATATCCAAGGGGGGGGGGGCTGAAGGGGCTTGAGCACCCCCTCATGGCTGTGCTAAAAAAATTACTCAAATCCTGGACTCTTGCATCACTACTAAGCCTCTTAACAAAGTTATCTAGCCTCCTGATCATGATTTCAGCATTTTCCAGTGCTTTAAGGAGCGATCAGAAGTCGTCAGAAGTTCCAGTATGCTTGAAATTATCTTGACCCTACCCTTAATTCACAAAAATCAAGGAAAACGCCTCTATCAGCGTAAAAGGGGTGTGGCCAAAATTGCAGCGCGCTTTGTGTGCCCTCAGCATCCTCCTTTTTCAATTTCTGGATGTGCCAGTGCAAAGAGGCAAGTATGTAAAATGAGGAGCTATTACAAGAGCAGCATCTTTCATTCCATTTTGGGCAGTTTTTATAGCATTGGCCGTTATTGTTCTAGGAATTATCATCATTTGCAAATTTAAATTTAGCATTTTTGGATGCATGCAATCAACAAATTGACAAAATTTAACTCTCTTTCCAACTGTATTGTATATGTTTAAATTGTGTCTAAAATGAACCTGCAGTTGTCAGGGTGCTAATAAATATTTATTATTATGATGATTATCATCATTTATACCCAAAATCTGGCTTCTTGTAAACATTTGGTTGTTACACTATTAATTTGCCTTCTTGAGATCAATATAATAGCATAATATGACATATCCTTAAAATTGGACATTGTTATTAATTAAAATAGCAACAGGTACATGTACATGTATGTGTAACAGTATACAATAATCATGAGCTATACTAGATGTATGTATGCTATTATACTTTGTCATATTGTCATTTTTGTATAGCTCATTATATTGCACCAAAGAAAGCCAGACTAGTTGCAGCTGAGAAAGTAAAATCTGTAAGCTAATGCACCAGTATTAATATAAATTATTCAATATTATGAATTATAAGAATCTTCGTAAAGCCATTGGACGAAAGATTGAAGAAGAACTTGTAACACAAGCTTCAAGCGAAGGAGAGAATCTACGAGTACTTAACACGTCTCTAAAGAAAAAAGGGAAGAATTCTTGAGGCAAACTTTTATTCTTATTTAAACTCTAACGTTACCTATTAAATACATAGTACAACATATTAGGGAAGTAATTTAGCATAAATGTTCGTGTAATAATCATGTCATCACTTGGTTTGTTAGGAGAGTATGGTTCAGGATCAAGTGGGAGTGATGACGAGGCAGCAGGAACTGCAAATACAGAGGAAAGTTTATCTAACAGAGCTTGTAGTAGTAAAGTTGGAATAGAGCACAGTTATTTTAATGCTGATGATATAGATAGCGCTAGTGATACTGGTAGTTCTGAGTATAGCCTTTCACCTGGCCCTGTTGATAGTCCACTGGCTCCTGATGCAGCTAATTCTAAGCCTTTACCATTACCTCAACTTGATGACATACACTGTGGAATCATTAAAGCTGAGCCTGGCTCAGTCTTTTCTAATCCTTTTAAAGAAGCTGAGGAGACTAAACTTTTAGCCCTCAAGCAGCATGTTGCTTTGGGTCCAGCAGAAGTACCAGTTGATAAAACAAAGAATGAAAGATCATTTAGAGGAAAGAGACGGAGGCGACAAGGAGATCAAGAAGAGACTGGATCGTTTGACAAATATGATTCTAGTATTAAGAGAGGAAAAATGAACCGTCCAAAATCTGGAGTAGCTCCGGGACTGGTCCCACCACAGAAGTATATGAAGCTTCATCAACGTCAACAAGAAAAGGAGAGGCCTTGGACAGTAAAAAGATCATCCAATTAATGTAGCTGAGATGTAAATTGTGTAGATCTATTGTATGAATGTTTAATTGAATTGGTCTATGTAGACTCTACCATTGTTTTTTATGTGTATATTATCAAAAGTACTGAAGGGTAGTTCTTATAAATAATAATTATAACCCTGTTGAATCTACAAAAATGTAAAGTTGGCATTGTAAAGTGAGTGGGCGTTGCTGAGACTAGTGAGATGGATCCTGAAGTTCTGGAAGAGTTGTGTAGGCCGTTGCGAGACCTCTCGCTGAATGATGTCGAGTTAACTGGGGAAGAGTTAGGCCGTGGAGCTTATGGTGTCGTATTAGAAGTCAAAGTTAGTGGGTTCTCTTGTGCTGGAAAGAAGCTTCATGATGCCATAGCAGGGGTAAATTAATTATGCTTACTGACAATTTGATTTGGAATGATGTGTTTAGGAATTTTTAGTAAAAAGTTTTGTGAATGAGTGTGTGAATCACAGCCATCTCCGCCACCCAAACATTGTACAGTTGATGGGTGTATATTTTCCACCTGATTCTACTATTCCTATACTTGTGATGGAGCGTCTTCAAGTTTCGCTTGCTCAATGCCTGATTGAAGCTACTTTGCCTCTTAAACTAAAATACAGCATCCTTCTTGATATTGCGAATGGGTTGAATTACTTTCATCATAGAACACCACCTATTATACATCGTGATCTCACTGCTCAAAATGTATTACTCACAAAATCTTTCACAGCTAAAATAGCGGATCTTGGTGTGTCTAGAATTATTGATCCTGGTAGGCCACGTAGTCACACAGATGTACCTGGCAATCCTGCAGTTATGCCTCCTGAAGCATTTGATGATCAGCCTTATGATTATAAGCTTGATGTATTTTCTTATGGCTGTCTGATCATTCACACATTTAATCAAGAATGGCCGTTTCCTGTCAGTCAGTTATCAATTGATCCTTTGAGTGAGTGGCAACGAAGATTCACACATTTTTTGAAAATGGGAATGTGTCATCCACTGATACCAGTAACTAGAAGCTGCTTGCATGATGACCCAGCTAAACGACCAGATATGAACCATCTCATATACATGTATGTTGTACAATCTACTTCAGATAATTTACCTGATGATGGCACTCGAGTTGGGGATCTTGGTCACCTATATGATATGATCATTTCGAAGAAAGAGCAAAAATCAGGTACCTTAATAATTTATGATTATGATAATTTTTAGCTGTTTTGGTAGAGTATGAAATGTCGCAGAGATTGCACCATGATGTTTGGTCTAGTGCTGTTAGGTCTAGTGCTGTTAGGTCTAAAAGTAATGCTTTGATTATGGACTGTAATCACAATTTTGATTGTAATTATCATTTATTTCAAATAGGTGGAAAAGCATTGTCATTTTCATGTGAAGACATTCATAGTGCAGCAAATGAGTGTGAAAATCAAAATGACATGGACCTGTGCCTGGCAATTCAGAAGTAATTATACATTACATTGTAATTTCATTATAGAACTTTCAACAATACATTGCATGAAGTCCAAATTTATTGCAAGATGATGTACATCTACATGTATCTCCCAGTGGTAAATATTATGAAAGTAAGTATAAAATTTAACAATTTATGCACTAGGTTTTTAAAGAAAATTTCAAAATCAAGCAACTTCAAAGGTGACAACTTGTTATTATGATAAAATTTTTATCAGTAATTATAGGTTTTTAGGCAGAAGCGGTAGGCCTAATTGTTACATTAAACATGAAATAGTTTGAATTTAACCTTGTTTTTGCAGTTTAAGGCCACAATCGTCCATCTCAAAGTATGTCCATTAATATTGTGTGCAAATAACATATTTTGTGACTATAAAAGCTTCACTACTTCTCCTCAAAAACAACAATCTGTCGAGGATGATCCTCCTATGCTTTGTCGTAGCTCACCTGTTGTAACATCTAGGGAGTCAATTTCAGTCTTCACAATCCATACATAATGGGCGTGTCTCTTCGGTTGCTTCTACCAGTAACAATTGTTCTCCAGTTCTTCATTGTAATTCACCAATTTTGACACCATTCAGTTCACAGCCTCTTTCTTTCGACTCTGAACCAAACTCTCCGATTGCTACACCGCCAATTATTCATAAACGAAGATCTCAACTATATTGCCAGATTGATTCAGCATGTTCTAAGTCCCCATACAGTTCACCAATTTTACCTAACAAATTTGCATTTTCTTCAGAGAAAGGCTTGTCACCTCGTTTGTCAAGTAATAGAAAAATGAAATATAAACAAAAAGATGAACAACAACATGAATTAATGTTTAATTTTGATGAGGATACATCACACCCAAGGTCACGTGATTCAACAAAAGTATTACCTTGCTTGAATAAAAGTGAAGTCACTTCACAATTTCAAAATTTGCACGACTCTCATGAAGTCACTCCTTTATTGTATCCTTTTGACCCTAATTCACCAAGATGGATAACACGTCAATCTAACCCTCATGAGTGGTATTATCACAAAATAAGTAATGCAACTGCAGAAGTAATACTATTGGAAAGGGAAAGAAAGGTATGGTTTTAGAATATGAGATAAATGTGATACATATTTTTAGAATGGAAATTTTATTGTTCATTCTAATTCCAATGGAGAATATTACTTGTTAGTGTGTTTTGAACAGAAGGCAATTCACATGAGGTTAATAATAAATTTGTTACATTGTGTCATAATGCTTTCATTTCATTATAGGATATTCAAGGACATGAATGAAAAATTCTTCCTGGATGGTCTGTATTGCAATAATAAAAAGGTATTATTTATTTATTTAGGTATTTGTTCATTGTTTTGTGAAAATATATTAGAGTTTTGATGGTCTTGATGAACTTGTAAATTATTACAGAGAGATACCTTTGGTTGTGGAAGACAAATTGATTGTACTGACTGATTTATAGAAATCCCAAGATTATTAAATATTTATTATTACTGGTACTTTAATGGATTTTAAGTGAATAAATTTCTATTTTTTATTCACATACATGTAATGGTACATATCTCATACTGAAATAATTTGTATAAGGGCATGTGTATGCAAATTTTTAGAAGAAAATGTATAGGAGAAAGCTGAATTAAGTATCAGTTTAGAGAAAAGGAAGTGTTGTTTTAGGCACTTAACCTTATCACAACTTGTACTATTATTCTTCATAGTGATAAAATTGATCATCCCACATATTACTACAACAAAGCATAATGGATGACTTGTTTAAGCCCCTGGAAGCTCTCTCACTGAATAATGTTGAGGTAACAGGAAAAGAGTTAGGCCGTGGAGCTTATGGTGTCATCTTGGAAGTCAAAGTTAGTGGTCTCTCTTGTGCTGGAAAGAAACTCCATAATGTTATAGCTGAAGTAAGCATCGTTATAATATAAAATAAGTTCATAAATGTTACAGACATTTTTAGTGAAAAACTTTGTGCAGGAGTGTGTAAATCATAGCCAACTTCGTCACCCAAACATTGTACAGTTGCTGGGCGTATATTTTCCTCCTGATTCTTCTATTCCTATACTTGTGATGGAGCGTCTTCAAGTATCGCTTGCTCAATACTTAGATGATGCTAATTTGCCACTTAAAGTGAAATATGATATTCTGCTTGATGTTGCTAATGGTTTGAATTATTTGCACAACAGAACACCACCTATTATTCATCGAGATCTCACTGCTCAAAACATATTGCTCACAAAATCATTCAGTGCTAAAATATCAGATCTTGGTGTGTCCAAGATTGTTGATTTTACTAGGCCGCGCAGTCACACACTTGTACCTGGTAATCCTATTGTCATGCCTCCTGAAGCATATCTTCCGAATAAAACTTATGATTTCAAATTTGATGTCTTTTCATATGGTTGTCTTCTATTACATATATTTAATCAAGATCCCCCTGTTCCTGTAAACCAATTGCCTAGTGATCCTTTGACTGAATGGCAAAGAAGATTTTCACATGTCGCAAGAATGGGAAGACATCATCCATTGTTACCAATAGTAAAAAATTGCCTTGAAAATGATCCTGCTATGAGGCCCAATATGAGCTACATTATTCGTGTTATTCAAGCTACAGCATATACTTCACCTGATGATGCCTCAAGTGGTAATTATCTTGACGATACTCATGAAAGAATCTTAGATAAACTTGAAAAACAAAAATTAGGTACAGTATTAAGCTTGTATCTCTTTGTATTATTACTTTCACAGGTACACAAGTAAGTTACAGATACAAAAACTATGATGATGATTTTGCTGATGTAACTGCCCGTATTAAGTCTACAGGTTAGAATGGTAGTATGGTATAGTTGAACTTTTGAATATGCATGATTAAAGAGCAGTTTTTAGCTTATGTGGAACGAAGTAGGTGCACTAAAATTTTTTTAATGCATAAAAGTTTTTGTTAAAAAGAAGTTTCACATCAGATTTTCCACTGTATATTGAAAATAATAATTGTTAATTTTCAAATACAGAAGAAAGACTTTCATTCTCATGTGAAGACATTAGGGATGCTGTTAGTTCAGAAAGAAAGGAAAGTCCAGGAAACAAAAAAATAAAATTTAATAAGTAATTTACACTTAATTAATTTATTGTATTTTTATTCTATCATTACATTAATATAAGGTGGAATTTTTCTCTGCAAGAAGCTGTGCCAGGTATTTATAAAAAGTGAAATATTGTAGTGTGAGCTATTGTTATTATTAGTAATATTATCATTTAAGGTGCATATGTACATGCATTCATTTTTATAGCTATTATCATTATCATCTAGCTGTAGTTAGTTGTGTTGCTAGGTAACTATATATTTCTTTTGATATTTCCTGCATGCAGGGTTTCTATAAATATTGAATTTTATTAATGATCTTTTGGTTCTTGATTTTGTCATCCTTGTTGTTTGAATCAAGGAATTGTTGAAGAATGGGTCACACATGTAGCAATAAACAATAGCTTATATTACAAATTATACAGCATTAGTGATTTTTCTAAACCATTTAAATCTTTTCTAGGTTCAGCCCCTGTATCAAGAAAAAAAATTGCAAAAAAGGTATAATTTTTTCCCAATGTAATTTATTACTTATTATTTAGACTCCTGATGCTCAAGAAAATAGGTAAATAACTTAAGTTGCATGACTTACATTTATAGCATTAATTCACATTGAATTGTATCAAGGCCACAGTCTATGATGGCAAGGTATTGTATAAAAATTAAGCTAATTCAGAAATTAGATTTATCTTTGTAAGCTTCACCGTTGAAAAGAAACCACCGCCTCTCCCACCTCGAGTTTCACAAAATCATAGTTCAAAATTTACCCGACCATCATCTCCTTTAATTTCAAATCATTGGGGTGTGGACTCAGGTCCCTTACCAACTACACACAGCTCATGTTTTGAAGTAATTGTAGTTGTTACAATTATACTTAACTTTGCCAATGATTACAGATACATACACCTCCAACACCTAAAAAATTTACATTTTCTCCAGTTTTGCCAAAAAAGAGCTTAGCTCAGTCAATGGGACAACCTGCACAGACATCAGTTTATTCATCCCCATCACAGTGCTCGCCAACATCTGAATGCTCAAATGTATCTTACAGAGAACGATCTCAAAATGTATCAGGCATTAGAACTTCACCCCATAAATGCGCACAACCGCTGTTAATAAAGCACAAAAGTTTACCGTCTCATTCAGTTACTCAGTCTGTCAAGCATGAAAGTTTATGTTTTTCTCATGCTCATGAAAATGCATTTGGTGAAGTCACTCTATTGCCTCCTCCAAGTTCACGAAAACATGATGGAAAAGATGATCCTGACTCAATACCTATTTCTAATCCTAAATCAATGGAGTTGTCAAGAAATTCTCTGACCCATGAATGGTACTACCACAACATCAGTAACACTATAGCAAAAGGGATCCTAATGGAAAGGGAGAAGAAGGTATATATATATATATACATATTGCCATTAGACTTCATGTAGACATTTGTGTATTTTTTTCAGAATGGAACTTTTATTGTTGGCTCAAATTCTACTGGGGAGTATTTCTTGTCAGTGTATTTTGAGAAAACAATAAGTCATATAAGGTTATTATATACATAATTACTGCTGTAAGTTCTTTATTTATAGGATATACAGGGACACAAATGGATATTACTCACTAGACACCATGCATTTATATTGTGATAAAGACAAGGTATTTAATAGCAGAAATGGTCACAGCACATGACAATAATAATTATTTTTAGAGTTTTGCTAGTCTTGATGAACTTGTGACCTTCTATAGAATGAATCCTTTAGTTATAAATGGGAAACTAATTGAATTACATTACTAAAATGCTAATATAAATAAGTTGTGTGTGAAATTGACTAATAGAGCACTACTGCAGTACTGCTGGTTTTTTAATTTTTTTTCATAAATATTATTAGTTCATGTGAATGCACATGCACCATAACACAATTACTAGATCTACATTGTTTTTATCAGATGATGGTGCACAATCACACCAGTCCAGAGTATTCACACACCTAGTCCAAAATCTTTTTGATAGGTATCTCCTTTTCAACCATACAAAATTATAATAGCGCATTATTGATAGAGGCATTCAATGGATTGATATTAGTAGAGTATCAGCATCCAGTGAGCAAGTCTCATTGCACTGTAAATGCAAATAATTAATTTTAACGACCTTTATGTTTAACTTTTTTGCAGTGGTGGGTATATTAAAACCCATTAATTTTAACAATTTTTCAACTAAGGTAACCAATTGCACATTGACAATCATATACGTCCATAACTTTAACAAAATTAGGCCAATAATTAAAGTACATGTAGTTAAAACTAATGGATAGTAAATAAGATAATTATTAGTGGGTTTACAGTGTATTAATCTGTTTGCCAACATTATTTTACAGCAACGATCATACTAAAAGTACACCACTCTTGTTTATGTAACAGAACTCAACTTGTATCAAATGTCAAGTTGCCCCAGCCTTGATAGCTGAAAAACAAAAAACAGCACTGCCAAAAACAGTTGTTACAGTAAATGTTTGTGTATATATTGAAGCACAGAATATTCCGACCTTGAAGTTTATCACACCTTAAGTTCAATAAATCAGAAACTCTAAGTAAGTTTAATGCTAACATGCAGTTAGATTTCATTAGACAATAATTATGACAGTTACATATTAACAACAGCTTGCTAGATATAATGTCGAGTAGAAACGAAGTGAAAGCTATAATTATCATTTTCATGAATGGAAAAGCCCTGTTAAATTAAAATTAAATAAAAAACTGCACAAAAAGTATATAGTGACAGCGTCAATTCCTTAATTTTGTTATGCATTGTTAGTAGGATAGGCATTAAGGAGTGTTCTTAGCTGATAAAATCTAGGCAGTACTCATTTGTATCTCCTATGCACTAAAATAACATGACAATAATTAACAATTAAATTGAATATACTCAAAAAGGGAAAAATTCCCAGAAACATACTACATTGTGTACCCAAAAATAAATGGAAACTCAGTCTTATGAATAACCTTCTAAATTTAATTTTAGAGCAGGCTAAAATAAGTTAGAACTAATTGTAATTATATTTTTAAAGATAGAATGAACTTTTCTTATGTACATTATTCACAATAATTTTTTGTTATTATGTAAGTGGTCTTTCACAATAAATGGTGATTACATTGACTGCAGAATAATATCAGTTGTCATCAGATATGTAATCAGTATACTTTTTGCTTGAGCCATACACCTTTTCAGGAGGGTACTTTTTACAATTCAGTTCAAATTTTCGTAAAACTGCTGATGGTAAGTCAATATGACACTTCTCAGCCAGTTCAATTAAATATATGAGGACATCACTTAGTTCTTCACCAACATGGGCTCGATCTTTATCAGACCATCCTAGGAAAATATAAAATCAATAGCAGTTGCAAGTAAAATCATTGCAAGGAAGATGCAGCTTTAGGTATTGAATATTCTAATGCAAGCTGGAGCTTTTAAAATCTAAGTCTTTAATTTGAGTTTATAAGTTGCCCAAAGTAGAGTAAGCCAAAAATTACCTAAAAAATAGCCCTTAACTTTTAATCCTTTATTAAGGGCTTTAACTACATAAATATTTTTGACCTTACTGGAACTCTAAAATTGAATAACCTATCTCAGCTATAACTGACAACTATAAAATTCCCACTTTGCATGAGCCAGTTTTAAATAAATGTAGCTGAACACTGGTGGCTTGCTCTATACAATAGTATAGTAATAGAGGTATATTCATAACTTTTATGTACCATATATTCAACCCACATAATAAATTGGCTGCCATTCAGGACATCAAGTTCGTTAAAAGTTCAATGGGGGAAAAACATTTCATCCTTGCTACCTTTTTGAAGCCTTTTTTGGAAGCTTAGAAAACATTCTAAGGATTTAATAGAGGATACACGTGCTAAGATTATTCATAACTTTTAAGTACCGTACATTTAACCCACACAGTAAATTGGCTGCCATGTTGGACGTCAAGTTTATTAAGAGTTCAGTGGGGGCAAACACCACATTTTCTTGCCTTGCTACCTTCTTGAGGCCCTTTTCGAAAGCTTAGAAAGCATTCTGATGATCTAATGTGGTCTAGTAGTCACCCAAAAGACTGCTATTAAGAAATACAGTGCAGTTTCCTGGTACCAAGCCTTTTTCTATCATCTCTCAGTTGCTGCCAATGGAAAACTGATGTCCAATGAATTAATTCTTTTCTTTTAAGTTATTACGGTATGCAATGAATACATATATTTTGCAATAAATATACTTAGCATCAGGGTTGTTGTAATTCTAATTTTAATCATTAGGAATTAGCAATCATTAGCAATTATTAGCTAATTCTAATTGTAATTTTAATTATAAGGATTATGCTATCTAATTGTAATTCTAATGGTAATCAATAAAACAACAAGTAATTTAATTAGGTGATCATTGTATAGTTACTGTGCATTTACCAGGAGCCCATGAAACAAGCGTAACAGGGTAAAAAATATTCCTATAATTGATTTCACCACCTTGCAAGTACAACTTGGTCATTATTAAGACTTATAGAGGCTCTCTCTACCTTATAATGCTTCTAGAGAAGTCTTTAGACAGTATCTCTATGCTCTCTTGCTGTTAGAAAGCTCTTAACTTTGTCCCATGTGTAAGCCGCCATTTTGTTTGCCGTGGCCACACCCACTCACGTAAAGGAGCGTGGGCGGGTGGTTGCTAAGGCTTGTTATTTCTCCAATACAACGTGTATAGAAGAAATGTAAGTGTGGACATACAAATAAATAAATATATATATATAGATAGCGCGACCGTGAAATCAATTATAGGAACGACCTGGGGGCTACGCCCCCAGGTCGTTAAAAAGTAACTTATAGAGTAAAAAGTGAAACATCAGGCATAGTCACAGTCTCCTCTCACTTTCTGCATTCATGCATGTGATGTGACGTACTGACTGTTATTGTCTTACTTAAAATACTTTGAAAACCTTCATTAACTAAATGTTATCTAATTAAATTAATAATTTAATTACAAATCATTCAAACTAATTCTAATTCTAATGATTGATTTAGTCAATTGTTAAAGCTAATTCTAATTCGAATCATTACATTGCCAATCAACAAATAATTGTAATCATAATGATTAATGACTCTAAATAATTACAACAACCCTGCTTAGCATACATATCCTCTATGGGGTCTAGTAGTCACCTGAAAGTTTGCTGCCAAGAAATACAAAGCGGTTTCCAGGAACAAAGGCTTTTCTGTCATTTCTCCGTTGCTGCCAGTGGCAAACTGACATCTAACACATTAAATTTTTATTCTTGAAAGTTATTACAGTATGCAATGAAGACATTTATTTTGCAATGAAAATATTTAGCATGCATATTCTCTATTATAGTGACACACAAAAATCCATAATACTTACGAGCATGCCATTGGTGTAAATATACATAGAAATGACTTTGGAAACCACAAAAGTTCAACACAATATTCATGAATGATAATCATTAGAATACTTAGTCTCGTCCTGCCCCTTCGCTACCTGTGGAAGAAGGGTCTGGAGACACTCACGGTAAAAATGTGTGCAAAGAAAACCATGTAGTTGGCTCTATATCATGTGACAGAGAAGGCCAGATCAGTCAAAACAGCTGAAAGAGATGCTTTGCAGCTAAAAGAGGACAAGAATGAAGCCTCTTGGACATCTCTTGCAGATTTGAGAGCAGCAGTTCCTTACAGAGCGCCATAATATTAATTTTTTATTGATGACGTTTTATTGTAAACATGTGACTTTATTATTACGTCATAAGTGCCATGGCGTCGTTGTAGTAAGCAGCATAATAATGCTGCTCTTAAACTTTGAGAAAGAAGTCCAGGGAGTGTTACAGGCTCCTTCCAGCCTTTATTTGGTCCTCATTCTTCTTCTTTTGTCTTAAACAGAGCTCTTTGGTCAAATGACTACTTGTCCTACATGTGGTTCGAGCAATCTGATTAGGATGTGGATTTCTCTGCATGAAGCACACATTTTTACCGTGAGTGTCTCCAGACATATCCCCGTAGGTAGCAAAGAGGCGTGGCAAGACCATAGAATACTGTAAAAGAAAATCATATTTCTGCCGCCGCAAAGAACTTCAATGGGGAAAAGGTGTAATTTTACCATTTTTGTCAGCAAAGCAAAGGAGCCATATCAAGGGAGAAAAAATTCCAACCTCAATCTCCATTTTGCATATACCAATGCAACAATTAGGAACCTCTGAGAAGGCAGATTTTAGCCTAGCTTATTCACACAATCATTATCTTCCACAATGGCCACCAAGAAAGTCTTATGTTTTACAGTACTCAGATGAATATCATTATGCTAATTAACACAGATTTCGTTGATAGACTATAATGCCAAAATTTTCACATTAGAATTAATTAATGATTACATACCTGGTAGACCCACATCAACTTCTCCTTTCCATTGACTGTATAAATTAAAGAAAAATAGACACATTATAAATACTGAGAAACTTACAAAATTTCCGAAAGTTCTCCTACTTCTCCCACTAGAGCTAAGAGCAAGTTCCTAGGGGTATGATACTGTTCCCAATCTCTTTCCATAGAAAACTGATTCTGCCTCTTTCTGCTACACAAATGAATCAAAATACTCATCATCGATAATTGAACTTACATTTGCTCGAGGGACAAACTGGAGCTAAAAGTGTTATCTTGATTCTTAAGAGGACAACTAGCTGTGGCTGCTGTGCTGCAAGCTCCAGCTTCACCCTCCATGTTACAAAGACACACCTTACCATAGTCTGCCACGTGGCAAATGAAGGTATGTACAGTGTTCACTTCTTATCTCGACTTTGCATAATCATTAGTTACCTAGAAGACGTGGTGAGCTGTTATTTGGCTTGGCTCCTTGTTTAGCTGCTCTACAGGCAGCTAGGCGTCGTGTTTATAGTGTGGTACTTCAAAAAGGATTTATGGAAGGAGCATTTGAGAAGGATCTAAAATGGTTTGTGAACTTTGTGTAGAGTAACTGTGGGTTAGATTTATTAATTCTCTTAGGTTGGTGTCAGAAAATGTGAAGAGATATGTCTCGTCGCATGGTACAAAGTTATACAGGGTAGATAAAGAAACATTGGAGGGCCTCATTGGCAAGAAACCATCACATCAGGTTTGTAGGGTGGCCTGGGATTTTGTGTTGACCATGAAATATGAAAACGTTTAATAGGCCTATTTTGTGTATGATGATTTGCTTATGGGAATTTTTGACAGCTATGTGATACATGTAACTTGAGTAAAACGCCAATAAACGGCCACACCCATCAAGTAGACGTTGGTACTCTTTTGCTATACTGTTGTATCAAAATTCCATACTTGCATTTTTTTAGAGCTGTTACAAAGCTATAGGGTACATGTAACATTGGAATGGATGGATTCCTTTTGCTTCGACAGGAAGCTTTTTAAGGACAAGTCTGGACAAACATATTTTTGTAAAAAAAATTCCATTCCACGGATGATGGCTACTATACAGCACAGAAGGTACTAATGGCTACCCAGCAGTACTGTTAGAAAGGACTATCATCGTAGTGTATAGGCAGCAAATTACAGCTTGCAGTCTTCTTTACACAGATTCCAGTGTACATGTACCTATAGACGCCTATATTCAGAATGTTCATTATTTGTATAATTGGAGCCTGATTTCTTTTTTAGCTGCGTTTATGACTGTAAAACGATAGCCTGGTGGCTTGTATTTGCTGTCAGATGCAGCTGCAAGCTGCAGCTGGTATGCATTAATCATGTGTGCAATTCGCAATGCATATTGCATAGCCTTTCCTCCACCCATAATTATGGTAATGCATAATTAATATTTTTGTCAATTAAAAACATTGAAATAGTTATAACAATGTACATGTATGTCAAACATTGAAATATTTAAGTCATTATTTGCATTTACTACAAGAAAAAACATAAGTAGACTGTCTTGCTTTGAATATACATGTAGACACTGATGCACAGACACAATGAAACCACCGGTTACATTCCAAACACATTACCCAGTCTGCTTCATTCAGATTTAAACACTTATCCAGTTCACAATCACTCTTGTCTTCTGTTGACATAAACTTCATAAGAATCATTTATTTTAATAATTGTATCATAATCTTTTGCATTGTCTCAGTACTTCTGCCTCTTCTATCTCCAGTTCCATACTCTTCATTTTTGCCAAATATCATTAAAATGATAAATGATAATAATGATTGTACCATTTCCAGTATCAGTTAAATTAGCTCCTTGTCTAACTGTAGCTCTAACAGCTGTGCCTCTCCTTCTTGCTGTTTGAATTCCTCCATACTCCTCACTTTTGCCTAATATCATTAAAATGATAAATGATATTATTAGTATGATTTTACCATTTCCAGTATCAGTTAAATTAGTTTCTTGTCTAAGTTTAGCTCTAACAGCTCCGCCTCTCCCTCTACCTCCAGCTGTTCCACCTCTAGCAGCTCCTGTTTCTTAATAAATTAATTGCGAAATAATTGTAATGATTTGCTTTTCAGTTCTCTTAGTTTTTTCTTTCCTCTGATTTTCTTTTTTTTCCATTTTCTTAAAGTGTTTTTCATTTATCTCAGCTAGACATTCCTTACTTTTTAGCACTCGTGCAGTTGATTTTTGTTGCATGTCTGGATATTTAATTGATGGGAGAACGCTTTGAACTCTGATAATTTTAGTAACTATAGACTTCTTTCGGGGTTCTTGCATTACTGCAGCCTCTGCATTACTTTCCAGTAACAACCAGTAATTGTATCTATCGTCTGTAGTAATATCATACCCCTCTTCCTTGCGCTTGCTAAACAGCAATATTTGATTAGCAGTGAATGGTGCCACACTGCTCGGGTGTGTTTGAAAAGGTGAAGGAGGTGAATCAGACTGCAAAGGAGGAGTTGGAATAGGGAGATCATTGTTTGATTCTGATTTATCTGACAAAAAAGCATCATCTGAATAAGCATCATAAATAGGTACAAGTGAGTGGCGGACAGGAGTTAATAGAGGAATGAACAAACCAGTGCGTTTTTTTTGAGGGTGGTTTATTTAGGCAACAATTTATAACGATTGATGGGATAAATAGCAGTCACTTCAAAACCTTTTAAAATGTTATGAGGAGTCACAGCTTTCATCCATGCTCTACCAAATAAGTAAAAGAATTGATATCTTGAGACGACTTTACCAGATTTTTTAAGCAAGTAATCATCACATTTCTCTCGCCATGCTCTTTTTAAAGGGCCAAATAGACCCTTATTTAATGGTTGAGTTTTATGGGTGGAATGAGGGAGAGGCAAAAGACAACTGTATCCTCTTTAGCAGCCCAGTTGACAAATAAGGGGCTAAAATGGCTTGAATGACCATCCATCAATAATAAAGGAGGATGAACTGGTGGAGCATAAGCTAGAAAGTGGTTTGTGAACCAGGTTTTGAAAATCTCAGAATCAATCCAACCCGAGTCACTTAGCTTAGTCCATATATTGTTCCTGGAACTTCACCTAAGATTATTTCAGGATTCAATGTTTTTCTAGCAAAAATCACCAATGGCGGGATAGCGTATCCACCAGCATTACAGCATGCTAACACAGTAATTTTAGTTTTTTTATTGCTTGATAATGCAATTGGGTGCTTTTCTCCTTTTTGTCACTATTTTTGGAGGCTTTGGGCTTAATGGGAATCCAGATTCATCTAAGTTAAAGATTTGACAGGGAAGGTCAGCTAGCTTATGATGTGAGATAGTTGCTTCGAGTAAATCGAAATAATTTCCGATTATTTGATTGCTACTGCCTTTTAGACGCATGTGAGTTAAAACTTCATCAGTTCTGACAGTTAAGTCAGCTAGTGTGTTTGGAGCGGAAAGATTTCCACCAGCTATTGGAAACTTTAACATTCATGCCTTTCTTATTAACTACATTCTGAACTAGCTCAACTATTTGCTTAGTAGTACGTGAATATCCTATTAACGAGCTATCTGTCAAACATTATGCCAGTTTGGCCTCTTCTATTAAATCGAGGTATTGTTTCAGACCACTTCTAGACCCTTGAGCAACTTTGCCACTATAGTGATTGTACAAAGTTGAGCGTGATATTCAGTATTCTTCTGCAGCTCGTCTAACACTCATACTGTCGTGTATTGCACCCATTGCTCTACTTATACTGTGTTTACACTAGCCTATAATTCTAGGTCCACCCAGTTTTGAAGTGAATGGTGTCGTGTGTAAATAAGTTCCGAGCTGTGCTGATACGAACCAAGTCAGCCTCCAAAAATCTGCCATGCCAGCCTAGTTCAGCACGGTTTTAAGAACAAGTGTAAACAAACTAGGACTGGAATACTGGTTTATCGTTTATGTAATTGTAATTTTAATAATTATTATTTAGTTAGTTTTTAAAAATGGCGACGTGGTCTAAGGTAGAGACTATGAAACTGATTGAAGTATGGGGAGAGGAGTCCATTCAGTCCCAATTGGAAAGATGTTCAAGAAACAAACACATTTATGAGAAGATTTCCAAGAAATTGGAAGAAGCAGGATATGAGAGGACAGGGATTCAGTGTAGAGACTGTCACAGCTCGCAAGAATTTTTCAAAATATTTTACTTAGAGACTAGCTGAATAACAAAGAACTCTCTTTCAAATAAGGCCAACTGGCTTTATATATGCACAAATCACTAATAATTAGTTAATTAATTAATATACATTAATGGTAATAATCCAGTTTCTATACAGTTCCATGACACTCCTCCCTCCTTTCCCAGCGTCAAGTACTCGTACTTGACGGAGCACGGGATAATGCGTCAGCATTGGTGTTGGCCTTTCCAACTCGATGGACTATAGTAAAATCAAATGGCTGTAGAGCAAGACTCCAACGTGTTAATCTAGATGTCTTGTCCTTCATGTTATTAAGCCAGACAAGTGCCCTGTGGTCTGTTTGTATTTGGAATTGCTTCCCT